TGATGGGAGATCTTTATTTTATCTAAATAATTTAAATATAATAATTTATTTGGTTTTTTTTAGTTAAAGCTTGCCATAGCTTAGGACAATATTTGAGAATATCAAGAGATAAAAAAATGAACAATTATATTTTAGTAACGAGTTACACAAAATATAGTTCATTAAGCAAAAATCTTGCAGATATCTTCAAGTTTGAATAGAAAATTAAATTAAAAATACTTAATGATATCATATCTGATCTTAATTATATTCATTATAGAAGATATTTACATCGAGATTTATATCTGGGAAATATCTTGTTAAAAGAAGATTATGTAGCATATATTACTGATCTAGGTTTATCAAAACCACTTGATAAGAAAGAACATGAAGATCATATTCATAGTGTTTTGCCTTATATTGCTCCTGAACTATTTCAAAGAAAACTATACACTCAAGCAATAGATATTTATTCATTTGGAGTTATTATATTAGAAATGACAACTGGACAGAGACCTTTTAATAGTCATAAATTTGATAGAGATCTTGTAATCATAATTTGTCAAGGATTGCAACCAAATTTTAGAATTGGAACTCCTAATTATTATGTTGAATTAGCAAATCGATGCATGAATTCAAATCCAGAAAAATGGCCAACTACTAATGAAATTATTACTAAATTAAATGAATAGTTGGAAATTTTGAATGAAAATTCCAAAAATGAAATCAAAAATCAGTTTTTAGAAAGTAATAAGATTAACAAAAATTATACAATAATTAAAGAAGAGATAAAAAATATATACATTAGCAAACTATTTAACACTTTGGAAATTAGTGAAAGTTTATCAAAACTAAATCTTAGTAAATCTGCTAGTATAGAAGTTTCAAATGATATTTAACATTTATTTTGCTTTTTATTATTTTTTTGTTAAATCTTTTTTATGTATAGAATAAATTATATTATTTAAATTATTTAAAAATACTCTGTATAAAAATTTTAGTTATTTAATACAAAAATTTTCTAAACTAGTTCTATAATTTGGTACAGGGTTGAAAATTTGTTTAGAGTTAGAGATGCAATTCGGGATATCCTCTAATTTAATTATATAACAAAATTATTATAAAAAATCTTTAGCTTTAAATAGATAAATAGATAATGGATCATATCTCTATCAAATCTGAACTAGTTTGCAAACTTTCAAACTGAACTCAAACCAAACTATTAGTTGTATTTGAGTCTGGTTTGAGTTCGAATAATAAAGTTTGGTTCCAGTTTGAGTTCGAAGATCTACAAAATTTAGAGTTCGAGTCTGGGTTTGATCAGACTCAAACTCGAATTCTATTGGACTTGAACCAGACAAGCAAACACTATTCTCAAGTAGCACTCAATTAATTAGATAATGATCATAATGGTGCTAAACTGTTATGTAAAATTTAATTAGATCTTTATTAAAAATCAGTAGAGCGAATAATGATATAATTGACGTGTTCTCACGTACCATCCTCAATGTGATTGATTTGTGATTGTGTTTACATTCAAGTGTTGCAATAATTGAAATATTGATTGCAATTGATAGTTGAGCAAATACTTTTATTATTGCTATCTTCTAATTGCTAATTGTAAAAAATTGTTTTTACAAAACTGTAATAAAAAAAAATTTTAAGTTTTTAATATTTTATAAAAAAGTCTTGCATACTAATTAGTAAATTTTATTTTTAAAATTATAGCTTATTTTTTATTCTGATTAGTAACTAATTTGTAATCAGTTAAAATACTATTTAATAAAAATTGTTGAGCCAGTAATTTTGCTGATTGTAGTATATTTGTCTAATTAGAATTCAAATCAATAAATTAGCTCAAATAGGCATTTCTGATTGAAGTCTATTTTAGGCTGATTTGCACCAAAATCCAAAAGCAATCGGCAAATGATAATTTTGTTTAATATCTTCAAATCAGTATCCTATCAGACTCAAATCAGCATGCTTATTGATGTCTATTTGTTAATTTATCTAAAATTAGTAAATATACTGAATGCCTTTTTTCTATCTGTATTATTAATAATAGACTGGATATTAGATACAATTAATCAGTTTAATGGTTAAGATTTGATTTAATAGTACCAAAAACAGCCATATAAAAGACCCAGGTCTGTTACATTTTATCTATAGTAGCCCAGAGTTCAGTACATGGCAGAAAGTTGTATTATCAAAAGTAAAAATTTGAAATACATACACACTTTGCATTTGTAATATACAATCTAGATGTTTGGATTTCAATCAAGAAGATCCTGAGATCTGCACACATACTATTCAGGAAGACCTTATATATAAGTAGCTGTGCAATATTGTTGCACTAAACTAGATATGTTTCTTTTAGAAAATGTTGAACAACTCTAATACTAACTAGTTATTGTCCAGAGCATAGTAGATGTATCTTAGTGAGCTCTACAACTTTCAATTATTTGACTATGGCTGTTAACTTAATAAAAGATACTTATTATTAGACAATCAATTTCATAGGAAATTGCCCCAAATTCTAATATAAAAATTCTGCAGATCTTATCTGAATTAGTAATTAAAGAATTTTAGAGCTATTAATGCTTGTATAAATACTATATTGCTTTAAAATCATTATTACTGTAACAAAATAATAATTAATAATTAATGCAAAACTTATTGATATTATTTACCATGACTTGAGTCATAGCCAAGTCATGCTTTAGCCATTCTTCAATGATTATAGTATTATTCAGAGCTATGACTTTAAAAAGCAGCTAATGCTGAGTCATAGCAACAACACCAATTTTTTACTCTAAATTTCCAGGTTGGAATGGCTGGAATATATTGATATAAAATTTGGATAGGCATGGTTCCAAAACATGTGTATAAATGCGCATTGATGCACATGATTCGCATGCCTTAATTTTACATATTAATGATCAATTTATAATTACATTAATTCGAATGAGATAATCGCAGGTATTTTGTAATAATTACTTGAACCATCATAATTTATAATCTTGTGTAAATTTTTCTATGTTCAGATCACATTTTTCAGATACGACCAATAAAAAACATTGAAGTACACAAACCCAGAATTGAGTTAAGCTGCAGCTCATCAGCTTTGGCTATCTAAAATCTATATTTGGTTAGTTCAATTTTGAAGGACAATAATAAAAAAAAAGCATTGATCATCATTCACTTTAATTGAGACAAAAACCTGTTAAGGCAATAAAAAATACAAGTTGAATATTCATGATGGTTAAACAAGTCTCTTACTATTATATATATAAATATAGTGATATGTGATACAATATCATGAAGTTTAAGTTTAGAATTTCATGTTTTATTGCATTTAATGCATTGCCCAATCAGTTATGAGTTTTTGCAGGTATATATCATAAAAATACTATAAACCATACACCATGTGATATACATTACTCTGTTCCTGGTACATATGTATGTATATACAAATATAGAAATCTCCAAAGTCATGAGATTTAATCAACCAATCAATGTTCAGATTTTGCTGTCTCCACTTAACTCTTCAGTAAACCATACTCTTTGTACTTCATACTATGTTCCTGGTAAATGACTGTGCTGAAATACTTATTTGTCATTAAGCATTTACTATTTTGATGTCTCCTCTTTATCTAATTTATTTATACGTAGTGTAATTTCTTTGATAATTTTAATATAAACAAACTCAATTAACCATATACTGTGGTCATAGTAAGTTTTGTAACAAAAAATTTTTTTTTTTACTATAATCCATGGTAGAAATAACGATAATTCAATAAAACTAATCAGCATTAACCACATGTTGTAATCACAAAAATAACAAGCATTGTAATAAAATTTCTTTACAATGACCCATAATAATAATAATTTTAATATAAACTAATTCAATATTAACTACTATATATCATATTAGTTTTTTTACAGCAACTCATGATAGAAATTATAATAGTAGCTCAAATACAATCTTAAACTTACTGTATATTACTAGAATAGCAAGTAAGTTTTAAACAGAATATTTGTAGTCACTCATGATAATAATTATAATAATTCTATTGCAAATTAGCTTAACCTTAATTATATATTTTGGTTGTGAGAATATCAAGTCCTATAATAGAATTTTTACAGTAAAAAAAATGATGATAATTCCAATACAAATTAACTTAATTAATACTGTGCCCACCAGAATAACAATTTCTGCAATTAAATTTTTTATGGTAACTCATAATAGAATTACAATAATTCCACTACAAACAAATCAGATCAATATTAACTGTATAGAAGGCAAGTAAGTTCTGTAACAATTTTTACAGTACTTCTACAATAGAAATCACTCTTAACTACATAGAAATCGGGGTAATTCTAATGAAACTAACTCATAATCAAAGGATCAGTGAGTTCTGTAAAGAATTTTTTATAGTAACTCATGGTAGAAATCACAGTAATTTCACCAAGATAACAAGCTCTGTAACTGAATTTTTTATGATAATTTTAACAAATACAATTCAACCTTAACCAATGTGTGTGCAAGTTCTCTAACTAAATTTTTTAAGGTAAAGTGTAATAGAAATCACAATAATACTAATGCAAGCTAACTTGACCGCATACTAAGTTCTGCAGTGGAATTTTTTACAGTAACTCGCAATATTATTACAAAAATAATAATAAGGTGGGTCAAAACTGCGAGCGGCGACGAAGTCGCCCGCACAGTAGCATTGCTAGTTTTTTAAAATAATAAGTGTGAGGGATTATGCTGAAATTTTTTATAAAATTGTAGAAATTTTTAGGGCCTTTTTTATGGTCTTTTTTTTCATAGTTAAGTTAGGGTTAGCGAGTAATATTTATTAATAAAAAAAGTATATGTGAATTTTAGTATGTTTTATAGATTTAAAAAGAGACCCCAATTTTCAGCATAATTCTGCTAAATATACAATATACGCAAAATGTATGGAATCTAATCTCAATATAAAGTTAAATAATTTGAGCTATTTTCGATTATAAAATCATTTTAAGACTAACCTAACCATTAAGTCATATACATGACTACTTCCATTAAAATAATATTTAACCGGCTCATTTTCATTAACTAACTCAAAACTATGCTTTCTATAGAGTAAAATAATTATCATTTTAATCTCTATGAGCGCTAACTGCCGGCCAGGACACATTCTTATACCTCCACCAAATGGTATAAACATACACTTTCGTATTTTCTCACCAGTGCCACCAAGTTCTTTATTAAGAAAGCGATCAGGATTAAAATGCTCAGGTTCATTCCAGTTATTTGGATGATTCATTATACGATCATTATTAAGCCAGAACCAAGTTCCAGATGGCCAATAATGTTCACCTATAACTTCATCGCCTTCAAGAATACGCATATTTGCCGGTGCTGGAGCCTTGTAACGCATAGACTCATTGACTACTGCATCAATATAGTGACATCTTTCAAGGTTTTCATAAGTAATTGTTGAGTTTTTGTCCGGACCAAAGACATCAAGAATTTCTGCACGGATTTTCTCAAGAACTTTTGGATTTTTTGCCACATTATAAACGAGGAAACAAACGGCACTGCTAACCTAATTATCAATCAATCGTTTGGGTTCATATTAATAATAAATTTATAATCTTTTTTGTTAAACTTTTCGATCAAAATAATAAAAATAAAAAAATAAACCAACCGTTTCGACCGAAGCAGCAATAGCTTCAGCAAGAAGGGCTTTAATTTCAATGTCATTCATAGGCGGTTCATCTTCAAAATTTTCAAAATCACGTTGCGTGTTGGAAACCAACAGTAGATCTAAGAAATTAAAATTCACAGGTGACCCATTTTCGATTTCTTGTCTACGTTTCTTAATGATACCATCTACTATACCATTAAAAA